CCCCCCGCCGGTGCGCCCGGCGCCCAGCCCTCGCTGCCCGACGACGGCCCCCTGGTCCAGGCGCTCAACGGGCTCCACCTGCCCGCGGACCGGCGGGAGGACAGCGGCCGCCTCAAGCGCTCCTTCTCCCTGGACATCAAGGCGGTGTCGCCGTCGGGCGGCGCGGCCGCGCCCCTGCGCGGGCTCTCCCCGGAGGCGGCCCCGGAGCCCTGCAAGCCCTCCTCCGCCCTGGAGGGCGCCGGCAAGCCGTGCCAGTTCTCCCCGGTGCGGGAGGTGTCGGAGCAGACGCCGGAGGCCAGCCCGGAGCGGGAGGAGGCCGGCCCGCCCCGGGGTCCCCAGCCTCCTAGGGCCCCCGAGGGCCAGGGCGCGCGGCCGCGCGCGGGGAGGCCGCTCCTGTCGCCCCTGCTCCGCAGCGGCAGCGTGGAGGACCACTGCCAGCCCCGCTTCCTTTTCGGCCTCTCGGCCAGCCAGCAGCACCTGGCCCCGTCCGCCGCCGGGCTGGGCCTCGAGGGCTGGCACTCGGACATCCTGGCCCCCCAGACCTCCGCCCCCTCCTTGGCCAAGAGCTGGTATTTCGCCCCTGAGCCCCCTCACTTCTACTCGGCCTCGGCCGTCTACGGAGGCCACGCCGGCCCCCCCGCCTTCAGCTGCGGCCAGCTGCCCGCCTGCGGCGGCGACCCGGGCCACTCTGTGCGCCGGCGGCAGAAGCCCAGCGACAGGGCCGACTCCCGGCGCAGCTGGCACGAGGAGAGCCCCTTCGAGAAGCAGTTCAAACGCAGAAGCTGCCAGATGGAGTTTGGCGAGAGCATCATGTCCGAAAACCGGTCACGGGAGGAACTGGGGAAGGTGGGCAGCCAGTCGAGCTTCTCAGGCAGCATGGAAATCATCGAGGTCTCCTGAGAAGAAAGACGCTTGTGACTTCTATGGACAGTTTTTTTCTTGTTCACAAAAAAATATTCCCTGTAAATCTGAAATATATATATGTACATACATATATATTTTTGGAAAATGGAGCTATGGTGTAAAAGCAAAACAAACATGGATCAACACCGTTGTTCTTTTAATATCTGCATTTGAGAGAGCAGCTAGTATTTCTCTCAACACAAGTGGAAGAAGGGCAGAGGCTAGCTTCCCCCCAGGCACATGAAACAATTCTATGCAGTGGACTGCACATCCTCTCGTTCTTACTAAATCGAGTTCTATTTGGTGTCAGAGGACAGAAGCGCCCACCATTTTCTTGTCGTGCTACAAAGAGATCTCAAATACTAGTCCTGTCCGGTCCCCTTCCATAGTGCACCTTAGTGCTGAGACTGAGCCAGCCTGTGGGTCGGGCGGGGAGAACCTATTAGGAACAGAACCTAATGGTAAATCCAAGAGAAATGACCACATCCAAAGCTGATTCACAAACCCAAGCGCACCTGACAGCCGAGCGATGAGAGCATCGTTCTGCTGACCGACCATTAGGGGCCTTGCCAAGATCTACTATAGAGCAACCCCAGTACCTCAGACGGAAAGTCGGGGCTTTCACCACTACCAGGTTTGGTGGCCCGTTTTCTAGGCATTGTGAACAGGCAGGTAGCTAGTCACCCCTTTCAGACCAATTCAGACGGTCTCTGCACACATTTCCAGTTGGGCCTGGATGGAGGGCGTTCATTTGTTCCTCCTTCTCAGCTTTGTGAAGAAAGGAAGGAAGGAAGCGATCTAGGATCAACTTAACAGCCAGGAATCTGGCAGCAGCATGATTTAAGCTAAGGCTGGGAGGCTAAACAAGTCTACCTCCCTCTTTATCAATCAAAGAGTTGTTCGAGATGGGGCTGTCAGCCCTTTCAGTGAAGGTTAATTTCAAGCCAGACGTGAATTTATTCGGTAGCAGAACAGCAGCACCGTCTCGTCCTCAGCCGCGCTAGACAGCTTCCATTTCGGGTTCATCGCGCAGATGCGTCTTGTGAAAATGGAACGGTGAGGCAGAATTTTATAGGAAACTACTGAGAGGCAGAAAACTGCGGAAGGATTCGAGAGGGTGGAATTGCTGAGGAGAAGCAGGAAACTGTTATTTTCTCAGTGGTTTTTTCCCTTAGCATGCGACCAAGGTGGTATTTCTATAATTAGACTTTCATACTGGTAGGGCTGAGAGAGGCTTTGGTAAGCAACGAATGTTCAGAGAGAAACAGTGTAGGAAGGTGAGGAGAAGGCGGTTGAATTTTGTTTCGTTGCGAGCAGAGCGGAAAGACACAGCCAAGCTGTTCTCAGAAACTAACCCCAGCATTTTTTAGTAGAACGGACATATCAAAGTGGAGTGGGACCAAGTGGTCTCCGTCCGTGACCTACAATCACTGTAATGGAATCAATCCTGGCAGCTGAAAATAGGAGGTGATTAGAACAAGTCCACAAGTGACAGTACTCACCTGCTTTTAAACTGCCTGGCTTGAGTTTTGTCAGCTACAGTCTGGTCCTGTTTTGAAGCCTTAATTCACGTCAGCAGCTTTACTTTAGGGTGGTGGGCGGGTGTTAGCATTGTTCTTTACTGTACGTGTAGCTAGTTGCTGACTCATATCTCAGGTTTTTCTACGTGTGAGGAATGGACAGTCCTTTGAGTTGGATGTGACTTTATGTTTCCCATGGTGACTGCTAAAACCAGCACAGAATGACATGATTCAAAACTGACTTGATTGTGACGAGTATGAGCTTCATAGAACATAACTGGTTGTGCACAAATAATGGGCTATGATATGGGTATAAAATGGAGAAAGTAAACTGCGTAGGGAGAGCGTTGTTACCATACTGGAAAAGTTCTGTTAAGAGTGATTTAGCTTTTCTATATACGTGTAAATTTTGGATGTAATCAGATATTATCAAGGTTTCACACAGTAATTTTTGATGTGTTATGTACACACGCACCATACGTGTAACAGCTCCCTGCTTCCAGAGTCTGGTCACAACTGTGGAACATCTTTGAGAAATGAAATTAATGGCTCCAATGCTGTATGTTTCAGGAGGGTTGTGGGACTTGGCTTTAATGTGATCTTTGGGCAGAATTGGCCTTCCATCATTTGGGATTTCTCTTGGCCATGGTCCCCTTCCTTCCTGTGACCGATGTGGTCCTGTGCTACATCCTTTGGTCCTTGATCACTAACGTCGAGTGATCAGCCCTTGGAATGGAGACTGCCCTGCCGAAGGCCAGCCCCAGAGCCACGTGGGTGGCCGAGGGCCGGGCAGGGCGGTGGCTGAATCTTTGCAGCGTGGAATCCGAGGGGGAGCCCTGGAGCCTACCAGATGATACAGGATGGTGATTTTATACGACAGAACTAGACCTCTACGTGAGAAATGCTGGAAAATGGTTTAGGACATTTGTAAAGTTAGGTGGGAAGACTGTATAAATGTTTAATATGAATATAGTGTTCTTTTGTAGTAAAGGCAAGCTGTTGAATGGTTGAATTGTGCATTTCTCATTCTGATGTGTCATGAATGTTAATATGATGAAATAAAATCAAAACTGGTACCTGTTTATACATAAATATGAGAAAGGACCTCTCTCTATAGCATGTCCAAGTGATGAAGGAGGCCTTGGTGGGACCTGACCTGCTGTCCTCCCGCCGGAGGCATCAGCTGTGTCACGGGATCCATCATTCACAGGGAACACGCTCAGGCGCTAACAGTCTACAGCCATCGCCTTCATTCTTTACTGTGCGCGCCAGACGCACACTGTGGTGTAGAAACCTCCGATGACCTCAGGTTTGGTGACTGACTGAAACCAGAATAGGTACAAGGTAGGAAGAAAAAAGACCAGGTAAACATTTGTGGTGCATTTTAATGTAATATGTGGACGGTTTTATAATTCTTATAGGAAAAACTGAGGGAGAGTAGTTATTTAATGATCTGTTCTCCATCCTTGCCGTGTACATCACGCCCAGTGTCACATAATGCTTATGAGTGACACTGGGCATGGTGACTTATGAGACTAGAAGCTCAGCCTCATCAGGTTGTTAGTAAAGAATGAGGCATTAAAGGAATAAAGCATTTACCTTCAGTGCAAGCAGTTGGGATAGTGGCGATAAGAATCACAGGTGACATCATTTAAGTTGGTTGTGAAAGGCTTCTGAGTTGAAGTCAGATGTAAGGAAATTTAAAAACAAGAAGGATTGGACTGGGTGACTGAAAACCAGAAGAGCTGTCTTGACTGGGACCTTACCAAAAAATGGAGGTGGGCGTGAGACAGAGGAAGAGAGGGCATATGGCATAAATCTGCCTCAAGATGGGAGGTGGCAGGAGGGAGCAGGTGTCTCAGTGAGAGGCTTTGGATGGGAAGCTGTAGATTGTTGGAAGGCCCGAAAGTCAAGCCCGTTACTACTTAAACACAGACAGATCTGAGGGCCTCTTGGGGACCACCAGCCGCAGCAGGCTGGTGTCAAAGGACTGGTTTGGGTCTGACATCATCAGACCAGAGCTCAGGCTATGGGGAAACGGGGAAGGTATAGATACTGGGACAAGTGAACAAGACCGTGTTATCCTCAGAACCTTCACCGTCATTTTGTCTTAGATACTCCTGTCTGGTGGTTTTCGCTTTCTGACACCAAGCAGATATGGTTTAGGTCTAGCAAACAAAATTTAGGTCTAGGTGCTTTTCTCTGAATATAATAACTCTTCTGCCTCTATCAATGAAAGAGGGAAGCAAGGTATTTCTTGCATTCTGTGGGGCCCATTCATCCTGGTACAGCAAAATTATACTTGGTTATATCTTTACAATGTTGCAAAATCAACTGGAGAATTACACCACCATCTTGGAAGATGTTTACAAGTCAATCATATTGTTGCAGTTTATGTCCTTATAGATATCAAACTGGGTTTATGTAAAAACAAATTTCATTCCTTCGGTTCTGGCTAACACACCAGAGTCAGTTGGAAATGTTTTCCCATAGGACATGCAGAATGTTACCTTGTAGGAGGGTGTCATAGGCAAACAGGATAACTGGGAGAGGGTGAGCTCAGCTGTGGCCTGGGTTCTCTGGTCAGGGGAAGTATGACAGTTTCAAAGACTGAATTAAAAATACTTGGTTCACAGAAGCTTTTAGCATAAATCATGCTTCACTATATAGAAAAGGTAGCAGTAGGAATATGCCTTGATTGGTGAAGAAAATTAATCAAATCGTCAGTAAATTCTATCATGTCCTATGTTGACACTGATGACCCTGACCAAATTCCTAAGAGCAACGGACACACACATACAGGCAGCTCAACACGAGATACTGCTCATACTAATAAGCAACTAGATTTAGTTGCCAAAAAAGTTTTAATGTTATGGTTTGAAGCATGTGAATAATTAAGTTATCTGGTTACCCTTTCCCTCTGTAGTCACAACATCTGAATGGAAGGTACGTGCCTTGTGTGTGTGCAAGAAATTCAGTGTTACTTATTATAAACCAATAAACAACAATGACATCTCTGAGGCACTATGTAGCTCTTAACAAAGGAATGAAAGTCCGGGTAGGGGAAAGAGAAGCAAAATTACTTCTCTCACAATTAAGAAAAAACATACACCTAAAAATTCCACAAAAAGAAAACATTTCCCTTCTCTCCATGCTGCCCTTCAATCTTTAGTATCAACATGTTAAGTAATTTCCGACTGAATACTACAAATCTGGGTTTAGCTGAGGTGTAAACAAAACAGGAAGACAAAATTTTCAATTACTCTAGGATTTTAAAACGTGTTTGTTCACAGCTCTCATTACTGAAGATTCCTTGTTTTCCTTGGGATTTGCTAAGGGAAATGCCAAAGCTAAATAAGTTCTACAAATAAACCCGAAAGGGTAAGTGGCACATGTAGTTCCCCAGGGCTATTAGTTTACGTAGCCTTGGAAACAGCATGTCTATAATACCTATAATGTACCTTTTTCGCACGTCGGAGGAGAAAGCGAAGAAATAAGCTAGAGAATACTTTACCGAAGACAAACAAACCAAACCAATTTCTTGAGTGCACTTAGAATGTGGAGTTCTTAAAAACTCATTTCATCGAATATTCACTCTGGCAGAGAACATAAGTTACTAAGAATGATAAAACTCTGAGGGAAATAAAGATGTGAAATCTATAAAATCATTATAAAGCTGCCAATGAAATCTATCACTTGCTCTTAACCCCACAATTCATTTATTGTAAACTTATATGCACATAATACAAGGGGTGAAGGCCTTTCTACTGATCTTCCACTTCAACTAGTGAAACAAGGAGGCTGCAGTAGAGCGGCCTGTTGGATGGGGTTCATAACTAGAGGTGAATAGACTGACAAGCAAAACAGGTCCTTAAAGGAAGCGAGCCACTTGACACCTGTCTTAATTCATAGTTAAGAAAGAGAAGGAAAGAAGCTCTCCCTTGGCAACTCAGAAATTAAAGTCACTACAAGACCCAGGGCCACTGCTCAGACACAACAGGCAAAGACGCTCCTCACTGCTTCTCGAGGGTGAGGTATCAGAACCGCAGACGTGGGATCTAAGAGCTGGAAGGGGCGTGAGACCCCACCCAGACCACCTCGTGCTCTAGCGGGGGTGGAAACTTCCAGCCAGGGCTCTTTGACAACCCCAGGCAGCCTCCCCATCCCTGAAACATCCGAGAGCATTCAGCTAGGTCACTGGTCATTAACCAATAGGGATCCAGCATTACTGTCTCTTGAAACAGTAAACCCCTCAGATTCCAAGAATCCATTGGAAAAAGTAAAATATCGAGGAGGGAAAAGTAAAATGTTACCAGTCAGGGTTCAATCAGAGAAGAACCACCAGGAATGATGCAGAATAAGGAGGTTGTTCAAGAGACTCACCTTAAGCAATTAAAGGAGCTGATAAGAGTCCCAGTTGTGCTGTTTCTTCTTCACCAGGAGTCGCTGGGCAGGTGGTCCAGAAAACAGCTGGATGTGCAGTGGAGGATGGATGGGCAGTGGGGGATGGGCGGGCAGTGGGGGATGGATGTGCAGTGGGGGATGGATGGGCAGTGGCGGATGGATGGGCAGCGGGATATGGATGGGCAGCGGGGTATGGATGGGCAGTGGGGGGGGATGGATGGGCAGTGGCAGAGAGCCAAGACACCTGAAGCCTGCAAGCGACCAGCTGGAACCACATCTGTCTCCCACCAGAACCCACGCTGGTCTTCCCTTCTCTAAGCCCTCATCCTCCCTGCGGCAGAAGACCTAAGGAGAAGTTAGTACTCACACCTGGCCCAGGATCTGGAAAAGCTGAAAGCAGAGTTCTGTGGAGCCGGACGGAGGAGCTGCTGCCCACACACCAAAAGTGCAACAGGGCCTGACTGACAGCGATGTCATCAAATACACGTGGATGTTGCTTCACTTCCACTGACAAGTCTCATGCAAATTTCTCTTGTGGCCAACCCTAACCAAAAAGGAACAGGGAAGGGAATTCCAGGAAACATAACTCGACTTAGCCAAAGTTGCTAACATTGCAAAACCACCACATACCACAAATATTAAATTAACTAGAATTATTTCAAAACACATCAGATTTGCCTATTGTTCTTCTCTGCTTCTACCCAGGAATAAGCAGTCTATCTACTTTGGACCCAAATCTAAGTTAATATACCATGTTTTGTCTAGTGTCTTTGTAAGAAGGAAAAGACCTGGATGGAGCGCTGGCTGGCAGAGGAGTTCTGCGCGCTGTGCGAGGCCACCTTTCTGCCACGTCCAGACCATCAGCTGCTGCCACACAGTTGAGAAAGCTCTGTCCTCGCAGGCTCAGTCTGCATGTCACTTTGTTATGTGCTTTTATTTGTAAATTGTATTAAGTGCCGTGAGGATAACGCAACGTGTGATCCCTGAGCTATTTTGACAGCTCTGTAGACAACCAGCCTTTCCTTCTTTGAAAGCTACAAGCATGTCTCTGTGTTCAGGTTCTGTATACTCCAGGAACTCAAAAAAAGACAATGATGGTTGAGAGCTGAAAAATGCCACTTTCTGTCAGTCTAGGGGAAGGGACTATGAGAATGCCTTTTATTAGTTTCTCAACTTTTCTGCCAGTTTGAAGTTAAAAAAAAAAAAAAGTGAAGTTAGGAAAAAACAGTAATTAGAGTAGGTGGGTACCTAGTCTAGCCACGTCAGATATTAAAATGTATTGTGAAATTATAATATTAAAACAGTGTGAAAAAATGAACAAAAACCAGCATGAAACAGTATGGACAGAAAGATCAATGAATCTGAATACAGTCCAGAACCAGATCCTCAATTACATGGAAATTTAATACATGAAAGGAGCACTGAACACAGCGGGGTTGGGGTGGGGGAATGCATTATTCAATAAATGTGGCTGCCTTCCCCTGTGTGACATTTCCTAGAATAACCTTAGCTATTTAACAGGTTTCTAAAATTACAGAACATCTTTCTTGATTGCACTCTAATGAATTGCTCTAGGAATGGTTTAAAGCCCCACTAAAATCCTGACCACCAAAGGCATTATAAAGACGAGCTTCTTTCACCAGAGTGGCCCAACAAACTCTAAAGGTCTAGCTCCCCACTCCCAGCTCAGTGCTTCCAATCCCTCCCTGGCTCCCTCAGACCCCTTTGTCTCCTCTGGCTGGATGTCTCTACCCGCCTTCCTTCCTGATGGGTAGAGAAAGCAGTTCTCAGAAGGTTGCCCTCTGAAGGAGGCAGATGCTGCCTTGACCTCTTCCCTTGGCTCTGGTTTCCAAGTTGTCTTTCTAGTTCACAGGGAATGAGCAATCTTGATATTTTTTAGTCCTTAGAAAATGCTAGAAGCTATTGATTTTTTCCCTGCGTCTAAATATTTTTAAATTATTTTTTCCATTTAGCTTGGAATGTTCATATTTCTGCTGTCATCCAGTTGTTTTATGCCCTACATTTTATCCCGGGTTCTAAGAACCTTACAAGATAGTGTTCAATCAAAATCCGAGGTTAGAATCAGATAAAGTTTAACTGAGAGATGCTAAACTAAGTGGGATCAATTTTAACCTTACAAATATACCTAAGGCTGTTTGGACACAAAAAACACCCTCTGAGGCTTGGAGGAATCTAGGGAGCCCCATGGGCCTCAGTGACCTCCCGATATCCCCTAGCTCCTGGTTTCCGTTTGCCTGCCTGGATCTGTTCGTACGTTCCATTTCTTTGCTTCTGCAATCTTTTCTTCCATTAGAACGTTTATGATGTGCAAAGTACTGCATTGAGTACTTTTGTGGTTACTCAAATTTCTTCATTTCCTAATCTCCCACAGAAATTCAGCAGCACTTGGGAGTTTTTCCTCTTCAGCCTTTTTTGTATCCCCGGCACAATGCCTGGCCCATCCAGTGGGCTCCGTGGACGCCTGCTGGGTGAGCGCTCTCCGCTCCGCTCCGAGTCTGCAAAGCTAGTAGAGCAAATGCGGGCTAAAACCTGCCTCAGAAATTGGAGTCCTGCCAGCGCTGACGTAATAAGAGGAAACCTAAACTGTATCTGCATCAAGGAAACCAGTTATCAGTGGGAGATGAACCCGACCAGGCTGTGGAAAGGGAGTCTTCAGTTTCCGACGACGACACGGGAGGGGCACCCTAAGCCGACACAGGAGCAATGCCAGAGGCCAGATAAAGACTTGCTACGACGGAAACACAACACACGCGCCTGGGTTAAGTCAGTTCTTTATGTTTTTATGTTTACGACCCACAGGACAGCCTCTACTGAGAAAAACGTCATGAAGGCGTCAAGGACACAGAGCTTCTTAAAATATTTCTCCCCTTCTCTTCATATTTTCAGTCTGCAAGCTAGACTGGATAATATGCACTGTCAATTAAAAAAAAAAAAAAAACTACGCAAAATAAAAATAAGTCCCAAGGAAGAGTTCTGTAAAGAATCCCTAATAGTTCAAACATTCCCACTTGGGTGACCACCGAGAGTAGGCTTTGCAGGGGGAGAGCGCGTCAAGGGAAGGGCTGGGGCATGGCAGTCTCCAGGGCGGCTGGACTGCTTCCCGTGTCCTCAGGGAGCGTCAACACCCCTGGTGGCCTTCGGTCACCTCCAACGCCTTTGGTTCCAAGCATCCTGGGATCCTGGCGGTCCCCCGACCACAGCCGGTAGGGGGAGGCAGCTACAGCCTGAGCTCGCGGTCGGGCTTCATGCTGAAGGGCTCCAGGCGCTCGGCCTCGGGCAGCAGGCTGTTGAGCCGCTCCAGCAGCGGCACTGTCTGGTCGATGCCCATCTGGATACGGCGCAGGATGGCCGACATCTCGTTGACCTTCTGGATCTGCTCGGCGTATTTGGCGTATCTTTTCTGGCGCTCCTGCATGAAGCTAAAGAGGGTTTCTACAGACAGATCCATCTGCAGGAGGGAGAGAAGTGAGACACATTCAATCCAGAGGAAACAAGTCCCGTCACAAGGCTGGGGGATGAGCACGAGGTGCGGAGCCCACAGGCCACGTGGGGGGCGACCAGCTTTGCAGGAAGCGGAATCGCTGGGCATAAAAACCTTCCAGGACACCGCCTGACCGGCTGCTGCCCCAGAACCCTCTGCAGAGGGAGACTGGGATGACAGCCTCCAGCTCTGCCTTCTGGGAGCATGAGCCATCTAGTCCTTGTTGAGACCCTGGGATTTCTAGCTCTTTCTCTCTACAGGAAAGAATCCTGGCTCAGAAACCCGGCAGACCAAGGTTTGACTCCGGCTCTGCCACTTGAGCTGCTAATATGTATGCTTTCTGTCTCAGGTCTTTCATCTGCAAAAATCAGGGGACTGATGGCAGACTTGCAGGGTTGCTGGGAGGACGAAATGAGATGACGACGTGCTCAGGACTCGGCTTTGTCCTCCCTCCTCCCTGGAGGCTGCAGACCACAGTCACTCCGGGAGAGCTGCCTGGAGGGGGTGGCACTCCCCGCCAGGACCACAGATGCCAACCAAGTCAAGTCTATATACCATGCGGGGCAAACGGAGGACTGCTTTGGGCACTCTCCCCCCAGTCAAGCAAACTTGAGGCTCTGGGTTCCCCTTTTGTGGCCTCTTTTCCTCCCCTGGCGAGGTTCTTTGGTACCTATCATCTGGATGAAAACAGGAGGAGGAGGGAACCGCCAGCGTGTCGGATGCCCGCACCCTTCCTCTGCATGGACCCGCATCCACTCCCTCCCCACTTGTTTCCTTCCGCAACCAGGGAGGAAACAGTCACACCCCCAAGACTCATGCTTCTGTTCCAAAGCTCAAATGGCACCTCAACCCTTCCTTCTTGTCCTCCCAGGAGCACGGCCCTTCCCAGCCCCAGCACCCAGCCAAGCGCTGGCCCTCAACGCGAGTTACCGCAGAGCCTCCGAAAACGGCGTGATAAAGACAAAAACAAAACAAACATTCTAACATATAAAAGACCCAAGCCAGGGCACCCCCTGAAAACAAAATAACCAATTCTATTTTGACGTTGTGCGTGTGGGGAGAGAGGGACGGTGCTGAGGAGCAGGGGGGCTGTTACAAGAACTCAGGGCTTATTTTGGTTGGTTCCGTTGGTTCTCCCGTCACTTGTTTTGAAATGCCTAGGGGACAACGAAAAGACAGCTGGTGAAGGGCTGGGGTGCGCAGGGAGGAAAATAATCCATCTGAATGGGAAACTCCAGACAAAGTGGAAACAGTTTCTATCTTCAGAGGGCTCTCTGCAAGCCTGTTCAGGCACTCAGCACTTTGGAGGTGGTGAGGCAGGAAACGATCGTCTTCCTCACAGTCGGCGCCAACCTTCTCAGGATGGCAATTCAGTCCAGCACCTAGGAACACTCCGCCCTCTGCGAGACTGTGGGAGCCAGCTGGGACCCACTCGTGGGCCAGCACAGCCCATGGAACAGCCTGCACCAGAATTCAGAACCTTCTCGGGTCATCACGTTTCGCTTGGCGGGGGCACTCCCGGCCCCCACCCCCCAACTCTACCAGACTAGACAGACTCCCGAGTCAGAGTTTATCTGAAATGGCCTCCAAGGCTCTACCTTATCATACCTAAGGCCCTTGGCAATCAACCCATCCCCTCCCCTATGGCCTGACTGACACACCTGATCAGACAGGTTTTACAACCATCTTAGCAAAGTTCTTGTTCGGTGGCATACACTTCCTTACACACTTCCACATCCAGCTGAAGCCACGTTTAAAGTGTCCAGAGCTTCTGTCCGAAGCCATGTCATGTTGAATGCTTAGGTGAGCACACTGAATTCAAGCACACTGTTCAAACATGTTTAGAGTATGTCTTCCAAGAGTCAATTCCATGACAGTCCCAGAGGGAAAAAAACACAGAAGAGGAAACTTAGGGCTGAGCGACCTCCAAGGTCTCACAGTGACAGAACCAAGACTAAAACCCAGATTTCCTCAGTCCAGCATCTTCCTTTTGCTGTATTTAATTGAGAGAGTATACCATTAGGGGCACACGAGATTTTAGTTGGTACGTGGCATGGCATTAAAGAGCATCAAATCACGTGATGGAAAAGTTATTGCCTTTTAAATCTTTTCCCATTCTTTCTGATTGTTGCAAGTAAAGTCTCAATTTGGTGCAGCTAAGACTTTAATACCTGGAAGAGTGTAATAAAATGGGCAATGCCTGCTTCTCATGCCCCGCCCTTTGCTCAGACAGTTCTGCTCCTGACCCCTACCCCTACCTAAGCATGTGCCCATGAACCCCAGGTACACACTTACTCCAGCATTTCTGACATGACTTTAGGCAATGTCATCTAATGCAATTCTGAATCTTACCATTTTGACAATCGGGAACATATTCACCTTTCCTGTTTCTATTCTGGCATGTAGACTCTAACAAGGAAGCATAAATACAACATACAGAGTCAACAGACATTTATCGAGTACTACCGTGTGCCATGCACCATGCAAAGTCCTAGCGACATAGATATTAAGAACCAAAACTATTTACACCCACACGGCTTACTGTGTACATTAACATGACTTTTCTTTTCCACTCTCTTTGTTAACATGACTTTACTATTCCAGGAAACTCAGGCCCAGAAGGAGGAATGTTGCAAATAACTTTGTTTCAGGAACTTCCAGAGGAGCCATTTAAATGAAAAGACTACTAGATTTTCCAATAGACAGAGAATGACTATTTATTCCCCGTGACTCTTGCCTCAAAACCCTGGCCTTGCTGTGACCACATGACTGAGTACTAGTCAGCGGCATGTATATGAGAAAGTCTCTCACGGAACTTCCGGGCGCCTTTCCTAAAAGTTAGCTGGCATGCTCCTCCTCTCCTTTGTCCCTTCCCTCCCTCTGCTGCTGCTGAAATGCAGATGCAGCCCCCATGGACCACGAGAATAATTAAGCTCATAATCTGTGGGTCGGCAGAGCAGTGAACTAGAAGAAGTCTGGGTCCATGAGGCTTTTTCCCCATGAGAGTCGTACCAGGTGTGGGAGAGAACAACAAATTTCCATTTTGACTGTATAGCCCAGGAAACTCTGTTCAGTACTCTGTAATGACCTATATGGAAAAAGAAACTGAAAAAGAGTGAATATATGTATATGTATAACTGATTCACTTTGCTGTCCAGCAGAAACACAACACTGTAAATCAACTAGACTCCAATAAAAATTAATTTAAAAGAAACAAACAAGGTCGGGACTTCCCCTGGTGGCGCAGTGGTTAAGACTCCGCACTCCCATTGCAGGAGGTCTGGGTTCAATCCCTGGTCAGGGAACTAGATCCCACATTCATGCCGCAACTAAGAGTTCACATACCTCAACTAAGGAGCCCGTGGGCCTCAATTAAGAAGCCCGCCTGCCACAACTAAGACCCGGTGCAACCAACTAACTAACTAACTAAATATTTAAAAAAAAAAAAAAAAACAAGGTAAAAAAAAATTTCCATTCTGTATAAGCCACCATAATTCTGGGTCTCTGTAACACCAGTTCGATTTAATCTTACACTGATAGAATGAATGTGATAAAGTCCCTGCCCTAAGGAACTCACTGTTTACTCTTAAACTCATATTTCAAACCTTGCCCCACATATTCATATACCATCTCTGGTGGCAGTACCTTTCAAAGGGCAGGTGAAAAAGGAGGTGAGATTATTTGTGGGTGTAAGTGCAGGCTTTACTATGACATTAGACATCTACAGAAGGGGCTCAAAGTCGTTCCAAATACCTTATGTGGATGGGGCATCCTATTTGCCCACCTGGTCGGTCCACTGCCAGCAATGGATCCAAAATATTAGCAAATCAAATCCAGAATCATACAGAAAAGATAGCATATCATTACCAAGTGGGGTTTATCTCAAGGATGTAAGCTTTTTCAGCATCTGAAAATCAAAAGTAATTTGTCATTTCAATATAATAAAGGTTAAAAATCATACAATCATTTCAACAGACACAGAAAAAGCATTCAACAAATTATGAAAAATTTCAGCAAATTAGGAACAGAAGGAAACTTCTTCAGTCTGATAAAGGGCATCTGTGAAAACCCAACAGCTAACATCACAGTTAGTGGTGAAAGACACTTTTCTCCCTAAGATCAGGAATAAGGCAAGAATGCCCATTCTCATCACTTCTATTCAAAGTTGTACTAGAGGTCCTAGCCACTGCAATAAGCCAACCAAAGGAAATAAAAGGCACAGGAACTGGTGAGGAATAAATAAAAGGGTCTTAATCTGCAGAGGACATGATGTACCTAGAAAATCTTAAGGAAGCTTAGAACCAAAAACTAATAAAACCATCAAGTGAATTCAGCAGGGTTGCAAGATACATGGTCAACATACAAAAATCAATTGTATTTCTATATATTTGCAATGAACAACTGGACAATGGAATAAAAAATACAAAATTTACAATTGCATCAACATAAAAAACTTAGAGAAAATGTCACAAAATATGTATAAGACCTACACACTGATATTACAAAACCCTGCAATGAAAAATTAAAGGAGATCTCAAAAATGGAGAGGTATACCATGTTCATGAATTGGAAGATTCAACATCATTAAGATGTCAGTTCTTGCCAAATCAATTTATAGATTCATTTGCAATCTGAATCAAAATTCTAGATGGCTTTTTTTGGTAGGGATTTGATAAGCTGATTCTAAGTAAACAGAATGGTCAAATGAATTTTGAAAAAGAACAAAGTCTGAAGACTTACAGTAATTCTTTCAAGACTTAATTTAAAGCTACAGGGCGGAGTCAAGATGGTGGTGTGGGTAGATGTGGAGTTAGAGTCTCCCCACAACTAGGGCGCCTGTCAGCTGCTGGTGAGGGATTCTGAGGCCCAGGGGATGGGAGAAACCCCAAAGTGAACCGGTAGGACATAGAGGGACTGAGGAGGGAGGAGAAGTGGAGGCCAGACAGGATCAGTGCCCCTGAGGTCAG